AGTCTTGCGGTGCGAACAAAACAAATTTGCATGACCCTGAGTATCCTGAATTTTTGGGATTATAGCATACCAAGGTCACGCAGGATTTTTAATCTCAACAACAATAAGGATGCTTGAAACCACTGTAGGCCACGCAATAATCCAGTTACACCCATTAGTAGCCTACTTGCTAGGCCCCCATGATCCTGCTAATTTCCCCAACATACAGTATCTCTTAGGAGGACCCCGCACCCACTATTACTGGGTGGGGGGGTCCACCTAAAGTATCTCACTCTAAACTGAGGTTACCTGGATGTCTTAGGGATCGGGACTTAGAGATGGTCTTGGGGGCCTTGAGGGTTGAGCGCTTAACGCCTGACAGCACTACTCCAAGAAAGGAAATGGAGACGCTTGGGGCTCCTCCAACTCCCGTTATTGCTATCATAAGAGCGCTGCCAGACCCAATCCCCTACAGAGTTGAGATAATTACAGCACATTGGGAATTGTGAGGCTACATTTCCTCCATCCACGCGGTTTAGGGTTTAGGGTTAAGGGTTGCGAGGAGTTACAATCTGAAACTCTTGAGCTAAGCTCATGAAGATGTCGTGATAAACAGGCCTGTGCATGACCCAAGCTTACATTATGCAACATGTCCCATGAAAGCATCTTCACAGGTACCCTTGCCAAAAGCCCAACACTTTCAGCCCTGGGCCCTAAACTCCTTGACTCCTGGGGTTCCTGAGAAGGGCTAGTGTCGGTTAGAGGGGATGTCCTCAACGACTGATTTCTTTGAGAAGCTAAAACAATTGAAAATACAAAAACCACAAGTGTCGACCAACTGGGTGGTTGTCAAAATGGTCCTTTTTTGGATCCCTATTACAATACGGCACCTAATACTTAGGGTACCCCAAAAGCAACCATAATTTTGACAACCACCCAACTAGATTCCAAGAGGGAGGCGAGGACGTGCCGCTTCGCGGCAGGATACCGCAATCGCTACGAAATTATCTCCCGTCCCCATCCCGCCTGCGCCCTCAGACCTTGGACCCTGGACCCCAAAGCCTAAACCCGAGTCCCTTGAGACCCCCTGAATACCCCAAAACCCTAAACTCCAAGGCCTCAACCCCGAGCCCTCCACCCTGAACCCGTCACATGAGCTAAAGTCTAAACTCGTAGTAGCCCCCTTAATAACCCCTATAGTAGTCCCCTATATAACCCTTTATATATGTTGCAGCCACATCTGTGGGTGATTCCCTCAGCCTTGGGCGTCTCTCAGCAGCGAGGATCCCCAAACCCCTGCTGCGTGCCCAAACAAACCTTGAGCCTAAAAGCAACATGAGATTTGGTAAGGGTGGTTTAAGGTTTAGGGTTTAGGGTTCAGGGTTAGGGTGTAGGGTTCAGGGCCTACGGTTCAATAAACGGAGAAACTAACGGAAACGAAAATACTAAAATGAAATGGACGCTGGGATTATGTGGGGGTTACATGTGGGGCTGCTATTGGACAATGAGGCGATGACATTGGTTAGGGGTATCCTCCTAGGTCCCATTTCACGACTGTAGGGGTTCTGTACAAGGGCTATCCAGGGGTTTGGCATATTGCCCCCAATGCTGTAAAATGATCTGAAACGGAAATGAAATGGAAACTGACCTTGTATAGGTGTCTTTGGAATGTATTGTTTTTGGCAGCCCCAACCCCAGATTTAGGACGTTATTACAATCGAAATGATAGCTATCGGGTCCTAAAATTGGGGGGGGTGTTTAACCATGCGCGGTTTAAAGGTTAGGGCTTATCTGCTGTCGGCTTAGAATTTGATTTTCTGGGATACTGGGGCTCAGAAGACAATGGCTTAGGCTGCCACATGTTGCTTGACTGCTGGTTCAAGCCTAAACCCAAGCCCCAAACCTGAAACCTCGCCCTGGACCCTTGAGCTATAAGGTGTATATACTATGATAGATTATTGGGATTCGTATAGGGGCCCGCTGTTTATGGACACTACTACCATGTCCAAAGCCGAACTTGCTCTATTCGACTGGAGCTCGTGCAACGACTCCGGAAATGACATCTTGATCCCGGGTAGACTGTTTATCCATCCATGAACCCTCTGGACCTGTGCGAATATCTCATCTTCAGCAAACTGAGCAGCAGCCTATGGCCCCTACTGGGCCTCTACTATAACTCGAAATAAACCCTGAAGCCATCGAACACAGATCTACACCCAAAAGCCACGAAATCATACTCAAGTAGAATTGCCAATATTCAGGTCCAAACAACCTAAGTAAAGCCCTGAAACAAGTGGATGCTCCCGCACACCCTAAATCGGGTCTTTCAATCCCAACCAGTACAGCACAGCATGAAGGAACGAGTTGCTCAAAGTTGTCATCCTATCACGTGTGATGCAGAAACCTAACCCAGGTACACAAATGTATCCCAAATCCCTATATGGAAAACAAAACGGAAACTTTAGGGGTTATAGGGATTATATAGGGGTTATATAGGGATATTCAGAAAGGATTAATATATATACACACATACATATTAAGCCCCTCTTCTCTTACAAGCACGTTCCATTCGATTCACTTTCCCCGTCATTGCGCTGCTAGGCTTTGCCAAAGCATGATGTGGGGTTTCCCAGAATTAGGGGTACCTTTTTGGGGGTCCCCATGATAAGGACTATAATATTTTGGTGTCTATTTTGGGGTCCCCTATTTAGGAAACTACCATTTTATACCAACGCTTTACGACTTAGGATTTGGGGCCTTGTTTAGTGTCAAGGGTTAAGGGTTTAGATTTGTACCTGAATGACCTACAAACCCTAAACCCTAGACCCAAAACCTAAACCCTAATCCGAGCATCAGAATTATAAAGGGTACCATATTCAAAGAAAATATTTTTGGAAAAATTAGCCGTCCAAGACTAATTTCAATTAGGTGGAATTTCGTGTGGGGAAAAGGGACGATATTTAAAGAATTTTTTTGGGTGACCAATCCTGAAAATCGAGATATTCAATGCATTCCTATTCATTGTTGAACTGGTAGAGGTCCAAGAGCCCCGATGACGCGGGAATGCACTCCTATTCTTTTTTTATTGAATTCCAGGAACCCCAATCATTCTTTTAATCTGGCGCCCTCCATTTCTTATTCTGGCGGGGGGGGGGGCCCAAATTATTCAGATCCTCGGGTTAAACCACAAGCGCATAAACCATCGAGCTGCCAATCTGAATCCTAAGTCTCAAGGACTAGACCATGCGCCATGCCTTAAGAACCCAGAGTATGGGTTTAGGGTTTAGGGGTCTGTCAAATAGGGGTGCCCTAAACCCAGACCCAAAGTGTAGGGGAGCCTCAAAACCTGGGACCGTAGTATTGATAGGTACTGAGACCCCTAAAATACAACACCCCTATAAATCTAGAAATCCGCAGTTCCCATTCGATGTTCCATGTTCTTTGCTTTTGTTTCTCCATTATCGTAATAGCACAGAATCCTAGAACCCTTAGGGGTGTTTTGAGGAACTCCTGAATCTGGATCGCGAGTCTGAACGCCAGAAAGGCCTGAGACTCGTCCAGGTTTTAAGATTTAAGGTTTTTTACCCTGAGCCCTGAGCCCTAAACCCTCAACCCTGAACCAGAAACCTAAAACCTTGAACCAGAAACCCTAAACCCTACACCCCCTAAAGCCCTAAAGCCCTGAACTCTGCTGCAGGGTGTGCCATCTGCATTTTTCTCGCTCTGCTGAGTTGCTTTGAACTTTGAGCAGATACCTCAAAGCCGCGCAGGGTGTAGAGCTTTAGGGTTTAGGATTTAGGTTTTAGGGTTTCAGGCTTTGGGTTTGGGGTTTAGGGTTTGGGGCTTTGGTTTAGGGGTTTGGGATTTGGGATTTAGGGCTCTAGGATCCCCCGTCACCTGCAACCCTAAACCCTAATCCTAAACCCTAGCCAAATCTACTGTTGGGAACCCAGGACTAAAAATTCCCCTTGTCAACACGTATAAGCTACAGTTGAAAACTCCTAGTATCCCCCCCATAATAACCCCCATAGTACGCCCAATATAATCCCTAATATAACCCCCCCTTAAGAGAGTTTAGACTACAGCTC